TTTTCTAGAAATAATCTCTTCAATGTTAATATAACAAAAACAATTTAACAATATTATTTTTTTCATTTTCTCGTTATTATATTTACTAAACAAATATATTGTGTTCCAAATATGGTATATTTAAAAAGAAAGTCTACATATGTGTTCCAAATAATTATTTTTCTAAATTAAATTTTTTTTTTTTTTCTAATTCAATTATCTGTTCATCAACTATTACTTTTTCCATACATTTTAATTGAACATCCTGTATAAAAACCAATCAAAAATTAGAAAAAAAAATTTTTTTTATTTTTCTAAAAACTTAACGACCAAATTTACCGATCTATAATAAGAAGTTAATAGATTTTTCGTTATTATTTTACGTAACTTATTATAAATCGAAATAAAAAATCGGTTAATTAAAATCGGCACTAATTGATCGGATCGATGAAATCCGAAGTAGTTAAGGGACTTAAACTGTTAGGTAATTGAAGCGGAAAACCGATGATAGCGGTCGAATGGTCAGAACCTTTGTGCAATTTAACCGGTTAAATGCTAATACGACATTATTGGTCAGGAATGATCGTGACGATAGATGAAAGTCGTTAATTCGATTTAGAAGTAAATTCACGCGTTCATTGGTTGTCGCGTGTTAAATAGAGAAAATGGAAGTATCGTTCGAAAGAACAATGCCATAAAAGGTATAAAAACTGGAGGAAAAAAGTAATTTTTCACGCGGAGATAACGAATTTTATTTTGTTGAGTGCATAATTATAATAATAAATGATTAATCTTTTTTTCAATATCATCAATTCTTTTATTTAGTCAAGAAAAAAAAAAAATCTCTTTTTGACAGAAGAAGGAAGACTTTTGATAACAAGATTAATACAACGATAGTTCTTCATTGTAGAAAATTATTTTCAAAATTATTGAAAAGATAGCGATTTTCAATTCGAACTACATTTATTAAATGAAATTATTACGAGTTCGCGAATTTTATTATCAAATTTCGTATATTTATTAGATTACATTATATCTGCATAATCTAATAAATAAATAAATTTAAATAAAATAAAATAAAAATATCCCTAGTCTATATTTTTTATGATATTAAACATCATTGTGATTGTTCCATAAGGGTGAGAAGGAATAAATTTCGACCCCTTTCTAGCCAAATCTATATTCATTTCAATAGCTATTGTGGTATTGGTGATTTGTTGCAGTGTGTATTACAAAAGGCCGGAAACTGGCGGTTTAATGCATTTACACTGGAAACGGTAACAGGAGGTAAGCAATTAAAATATGAAATAATGAAAAAGGAAAAGTTGCGAGGCGAATAGGTGAAAAAGTTTGAGATATTTTTTTGAATAAAGTTCGATTAAAAATTGAATCGAGTGGTAAAAAAAAAAAAAAAAATGAAATAAATGTAAATTATAATTTAATTGGAAGATTTTCTAGGAAAAGGAGTTATGAAACAAAATGATAAATTAAACAAATTTTTATTGGACGATTTTAACGAATTAAATATATATTCTAAATGTAATAAACGATAAAAGAAATAAGATAAGTTAATTAAAAATGATATATCAAAAATAGTCACATAAATTCTTTTCCCAGAAAGCTTTTCAATTTTAGTGGAACAAAAATTTTACTAGATTCGTTCAGTTTATTAAACTTCTTGCTTGATGAAAATTATATATTTTAATTGAATTTTGAAACAAAAAGGATTAATATGTTATCTCAAAATATTTAATTATAAATCAATAGAGATTCTGATGAATTCTTGATATTTAAATCCTTTCTCGATATTTTGAATGAAAAATGGATTGAAAAGCGAATATTTTATCCTGTTAATAAAAATTGCAAAGACCGTGTTGACTAATGGAGTTTCGCATTTGTAATGGAATTTACAATTACAAAATTCAAACGGAGTGATTCTCGTTCGAGAAATGCAAACTATTTAAGAAACTTCTGCGAGTAAAACACGCGATGTAAATCAGTTTCGGCTAATGAAGATTTAAAATTCGATTTTCCCGATAGAAAGAAAGAAGGATAATAAAATAAATTAATTCTATAGCATCTCAATATTCATTGTTAGCATTTTCAAAATAAATCCTTGACTGAAAAAAGAAAAGGAAAACAATTCTCTTTTTCTTTCTTCTTCTTTGTTTTTCTTTTTTTCTTTTCTTCTTTTTCATTCCTTTTCCTTTTCTGTTTTATAAAGAAATACTTACTTTTTTAACGTGACATCCAACCGATTTGTCAATATAAGAAACGTGTGCAAAGAGTGACGAAACATAGTATTGGGGAAAAAGCGAGATTCGCACTGTGAATAAGAGTATTTCACTTTTCAAACCTCGAAATCCGTGAGAATCCATGCAATCCATCGAGATCCAATATTCACGCGCGGATTGATTTATTTTCCGCGTATCGAGGCCAACTGAGAGGAATCATATTTATAAGAGATAGTAATATTTATGAGAGAACGATTGAACATCTTCGATTGGCTCTGTTGACTTTGATACATCATCATTAATCGATACACTGCTTCGAAAAATTCATGCAGATAATACGGAATATCTGTGGATACCCGATTTGAATTTTAGAAAACGTCACTCGAGTTAACAGAGAAATTGGATAAAAATAAAAGTTAAGAAGATGGAAATCATTTTGAATGCGAGTCATAATATTTTGCCAATTATAATCTTATTTTTCTTCTTTTGTTTCTTGACTTCTATTTTTCCTTTTTTTTTTTTTGTTTTTTTCCAATTTTATATTTTTTTCCTGTCAGTTAGGATTTTTATTATCTATAAAAGCAATTTCGAATTATTATTATTTGAATAGCGAGATTTTAATTTCATGATATCTTGACTTACAACTTTGGATTCCATTCTCGTCGAATATCATGTTACATTTAATTTCCAGGACGTTCGCTGCCAGTATTGTGCGTCCATCTTTTTCATTGGTACGGTCTTCTACAATACTTCAATCTGGATGTGGTTACTGTATGGAAATTATTCGGTAAGAATCACAAATATTGATATAATTTTAAAATCAGTGAGTTTGACGAAATTTTCTGTGCACAAATTAATTTACTTCATATTCTAATGATATTTTCTTATCATTAATCAAATCGATTAAATAATATCAATCATTGAAATTTTAACAAAATTACTCTTCTCAAAAACTAGAAAAATAATACTTTAGATTCTAACAATAAACTTTCCTCCTTTCCTTTTTAAAGAAATATATCACAGCCTCTAATATATAAATAATATATAAATAATAGAAAAATTAAAAGTAGAATTAGAATTAGAAATAGAAAAATAGAAAAATAATATATACATATAAAAACATATCATATATCTATGTATTTTTACATTTCATATTTTACATATATTCTCTTTTGTTTGACATCGCCACAAAATATTGTAGCATATAACATTACATAGGGATTACATTACTTTACTCAACTCGTTTGTAAAATCGAACGATCATTTCACAATCTTTTTTCTCTTTTTGTGATTTGCTGATATATCCGTTTCTTTGACACTATGTTTCCACAAACGGCAGAAGAATCCTTGTCTCTTACGGAATTAATGAACATTACTTTCTTTCTGCACGAAATTTTTACGTCATCGAGGTTGGAATACAGGTCGGAAGCTATTCGTCACCATTAAATATTCAAAAGGGGAGAGTCCCGTGAAGGGAAATGGCGACACCCCCCTTCACGCATATATTCGTATTTATAGACTCGCACTTATTATTTATTTATTCTATATAAGATTTCCATACAAGGAAGATTTATATACAGGCATGTACGCCCAAAGGTGTTGGAGGGAGGTTATGTGAATATTTTAAACCGAGTTTGATCGCGCATGCGCATGATTGAATAAAATAAACTTGGTTACATGTTGATAATTATTATAATTTCTTGTGGCGCGTACGTTAAAAGTTTGAAAGAAATATGAATAGTGATCGATTATATTATTTTTTTGGCGCCAAAGCTGTTTTAATTTTGTGTTTGCTAAAAATGAAAATTTAGAAACTATAATGGAAAAATTTTTGATTCTGTATAGTAGCAAACACTTTCATCAAAACATGTATAGGTTATAATACGAATTACCGATTAGCATCTTTTTTAAGTTAGTTAGGATTTTATTAAAGATTATATTTTTTTTTTCATCTTATATATATATTAAATTAAAATCAAGAATAAAGTCAAGGATTCTATTGTTAGATATTGAAATCTCTCAAAGGAAAATTACTAAAAAGATAATCATTTGATGATATTTCGAAGATTCTTAAATTCATCAAATCATTTATTGATTTCACAAAAAATAGTTTTAACAACTTTCAAAAACATACTTAGTTGGTTAAAACAATTTTACAATTTTAATTACAATTGAAACACAATATAATACATCGAAAATCTTTCATCGCAATTATTTCTATTAAGATTTTTAAAGCTTAGAATTTCAAAATTTTTTTAAAATTAATTTTCCTCTATTAATATATTGTAATATTAACTATAATAATAGATAATTAGATAGATTAATACATAATAGATAATAATAGATTTTTTTATTAAGAAAATATTAATATATATAAAATATACAATATAAAATATGTATATAAAATCATATATAATATTGAAATGTTACTATATGAACTATATCAGTAAGTATTAAAATATTTGAAATATTAAAATACTAAAATAGTAAAAATATAGATATTTTTTATTTAGAATATTTTAGGTATTTTAATTTCGAAAAATTTCACTTAGAATATTTAAATATTAACTTTACTGATCAAAACTTTAAATAAAATAAGTCACATGATTTACAACAAATTATAGATATGGCAAATATAGTTTAATCATAACCGATCTTCTTTCTGATTGCAGCCTTTATCGAGGAGGGTTATCACAGTACAAATCCTTACCACAACAGTATACATGCGACCGACGTGACTCAAGCGATGCATTGCTTTCTCCAAGAAGAAAAAGTGAGTATATATGATTTTATGATTGCGTATAGAGAATGAAGCGCAATGAAGTGTATAATGTTGTAAATTTACAGATCAGAACGCACTTAACCAACTTGGAGATTATGGCTTCGCTGATTGCCGCGGTGACGCACGATCTGGATCATCCGGGCGTCAATCAACCGTTTCTGGTTGCCACGAGCAACCACTTGGCAGCTCTCTATCAAGTGAGCAGACCAGATTTTCGACACGTTTAAATACGATAATCGAAAAATGATCCTTGATGATATATTGATTGCAGAACACATCGGTACTCGAGAATCATCACTGGAGGTCGGCGATAGGTTGCCTTCTTGAGAGTGGAGTTTCCGATCAGTTACCAGCACATGTGAGGCCAGAACTTCAACGACATATAAGTTCATTGATTTTGGCCACAGACATCACTAGACAGCAAGAATTTCTCATTCGATTCAAAGTAATTTTTGAAACAATTTTATTAATAACATTAATATTTATATTTCAATTTATAAATTTGTTTATTAAGATTGGATTTTGTTGTTAATAAGTTCATTTATTCTTGAGAAGAGAGTTAATGATGATGTGATGATAATAAAATAATTTATTTTGAATAGTTTATAGATGATATAATATATTTTATAAAATATATGTACATATGTTATGCTTTTGAGAATGTAGAATAATAAATTAATGGTGATAATATTACTATTTTAATAATAAATTGCATAAAAATAATAAAAAATATTTATAAAATTTTTTCTGTTTCCAAAAATATATCAAATCTTAAATGATTTTCCTTAATATTTATAAATTTATAGATATAAATTGTATAATATTAAAAGATAATCAAAATCTGTTATCATTAATCTTTTTTTTCTTTCATATTTCATCATTTTTTCTTTGCAGCACTATTTGGATGAGAATCTGCTGGAGATGAAACGTGCGGACGACCGGCATTTCATTCTACAAATAGCCCTGAAATGCGCTGATATATCGAACCCTTGCAGACCTTGGGACATTTCGCAGAAATGGTCGCACAAAGTATGTGAAGAATTCTTTCGACAAGGCGATTACGAACGACGTTTGAACCTTCCAGTGACACCATTATGTGATCGACATACCACTAGCATACCAAAGATACAGGCTGGATTCTTTAAATTTGTCGTGACGCCTTTATACGAGGAATGGCACCGTTTCCTAGGCGATGGTCTTAGTGTTTCACTAATGGAACACCTGCGAGCCAATCAAAAGAAATGGGAAGCGTTAATTCTCCAAGAAACTGCAAAGGATATAGAAACGGAAATCTCGGAATTGGAAGAGACAGAATTGGAAGATGCCATCAGTACTGCAGAAGATCCAGCTGAGGAGGATACAGAAAGTATTGATTTATTGATACCAGCTGCATACGTTCATTCCTCTAAAATGCAAAGTTTGCCAGCGCGAATTGGTCTGGAACGCGTTGGAAGACGGCATTCCGTGCCATTAAGTATAACGAAACCTATGACACTTTTGCCACGAAGTAACGTGAGACGTGAAAGTTTACCGAGTGAACAAAGTAAATCGAGGAATCTTGTGTGGAAACTCGACGAACAAAATCTTTTAGATCCAAATTCATTGTCTTTATTGTCGTCCAAAACTAGTATAGAACTTTCTCCGAGCGGAAGTAATACAGGGGAAAGACCGGTCAGTGCTGAAAGTCTTTTGCCAGAACCTAGTATAGCTAGTATCACTAACAGTACTGAAGCGTCAAGATTAAGTACGGTATTGCAATCGGATGATCAGAAGTCAAATACGCAAACAAAACAATTAACAAGACAACAGACTTTCCCTCCATTGCAACCGTATATTAGAGTAAGATATCTATCCACGACCGCAGAGATGTCGCAATGTTATTCTCAAATATTATTAGAAGCAGATAGTGCATCAGCATCCTCTTCATGTTCGATGAAAGAAAAATCGTGTTCGGATGGTCATTGTGATATTTCTCCTACAAAGGAAATAGAGTCTAATAACATTATAATGTCGAAAGAAATAGATTTAAATAAGAGACGAAGCTCTTTAATTCCGGAAACGTTTAGACAAAAAACAGAACCAGTTGTTGAATATCCACGCCGTCACTCGGTTCAAACGATTCGTATCGAAGATGTCAACTTTAAAAATCGTTATAAGCGACCGACATCTGCTCAAGGAACAGATTCCACACAAGTTTTTTACACATCGTTGACCAATTCACGTACCGATAAAGAGAGAGGTAGCATTGAAGAGGAATCCAAATTGAGCGATATTTCCATCTCGAAGATAAAATTGGAAAGTGAAAGATCGGTAAACGAACAACGGACTACTATGGTAACATTAAATAAGTCTGAACAGTGTGGTTCGATAGCGATTATTGCAAAATCGAAGTGCACCAACTCCGAATTACGAAGATACTCAACTCCTGTGCCAGAAACTAAGACAATAATGACTGATGCTGGTGGTAGACGATTTACCGCGATACCAGTGTCATCCGAACTTAGCACGCATAAAGTGTTCTTCATCGGTAGTCCACCAGACTCACCACCCCTTGTTCAAAGCATATCTACGTCAAGTGAAAGTGGTAACGATTTACGAAAAGGAGATATGAATAACGAAATTGTTTCTACTTGTAACAAACGAGATTCAGATTCTGCAAAAGAAAGGAGTTCGAAAGTAGCCAAATTAAGTCTGGATATGCAAATGAAGGAGAATGTTGATCCACGAGCAGTAGAAGATACAAAAGGAATTGCTTTATCCAGAAAGGGAAGTCAGGTAAAATTTCTTAATATATTTAATATAATGTTCTTCACAAATATAGAATATTTATATATATATATATATATTAATTATAATATCAGAATGTTATCAAGTTATCAATATTATCAATATAAATAAGAAAATAATTGTAACTTAAGGACAATATTGTTTATTTAAATTATTTTATTTCGTATATCAATTATAATTAAAATACTTTTTATATTATTTAGTCATGGACTAGACGACGTGGATCTGCTCCAGTTGGTCTTTTATCTAGATTGGATGATATCACAGTACCATCTATAACAACTAGAGTTGATCACACTTCCAGACGCGGTTCCGTACCAAATGACATTACTAGACAACAAAGTAAAAAAATATAATAAATAACAGCACTAAATCTTCAAAAGCTATAACTCATATTGTAATAATATTTTCAGATGGTGGTTTTAATAGATTAGCATTAGGACCTCGAGAGGGTAATGTTGCAGCACCTCGAAGAGCAAGTCTTCCACAAGAAACTGCTCTTGGAAATCTTCTTGGCAATATTTTGTCTTTAACTAGTATGTATATTTCTTATATGATGAGTAACATGTTTTTGCTCGAAGTTTGTTACGATTAGTGCATGTTTTTAGATGAACGAGAGAATCTCCCAATAAATAATAACAATAATAATAACAATACTGGAAGTAGCAACAATAACGGAATAACAAGAATAATTGATAGCACTGGCCCTGGCATGCCGTCGCCGCGGCGAGGTTCTGTGCCGGCAGATATATCTGAATTACGTCGTGATATGTTCAATAGGAGTAGCATAAATGGTAAGCCTCGTAATCGGAAAAAAATATTGAAGAGAAGGAGTTCTGGAGGACCAGAAATGTTTTCTGGAGGATCCACAGATGGAAACGATAATGGCACATGGCTTAAATGGAAGAAAGAACTAGGAAAAAAGGATTCAATTCCTGAACCACTCGTCAAGCGAAGAGGTTCCCTGCCCATAGAGATGGTGGCCATTTCTCATGCTGGTCGGTACAATCATAGATAAAGGAGGATGTCATTAAACACAAGCCGGTACCATTGCGTTCTCCATTAATATTTTTACGAGAAATTGAAATTTCTAGAATTTTTATAAATTAAACATTTGAATTCGTTACCATTTTAATAGAAATTCTAGCAATTGATGACATAAGGTGTAAATATCAGCTTTCTGAAGCCGTATGTTTAAAATTTATTTTATATAGAAGTAGGAAATTGAAATTGTTCGACTAGATCTAATGCAATCATTATATATATGCATGACAGGATCAGGATCAGGAACACGAAGATCCAGCTTATGGAGACTTTAGCATGCAATAGAAACAAGTGGACCGTCCGTGTTATCAGCGGTTGACATTAGATCATCGAATACTACCGTACTGGCAGTCTTTCCTTACAACGTTAACAGCAACAGCGATGATTGACTTCCATTTCTGGTTTAAACTGGAACATTGCAAAACTGGAACTCTTCTAACCAACTATAATTGTGGGCAAGTGAATTTTGTAAAATTAATCGAGATTTCTATAATAATATTTGCAATAAAAAACAAAGAAAAATGTTCGCAGCGATTTATTCAATGATCGCTAGTAATAATTTTATTGCCGCAAATATTACATATATTAATGCCTATAATAAACAAAGTAAAAAATCTATTCTAACACAAATGGATATACTTATGTATATCTTTGAATAATGAAAAGAATACAAATTCAAGATTGGCGAATTGTAATATAAAATTTTGCGACAGGGTTAAATAATTGCGAAAGAAGAATGAAAAAATTATTCTTCTTCGTCATATGTTTGTGTGGAATTAGTAAAACAAAGTATTTACACATATTAGTTATGTGAGTTCTATATCCATTTGTGCCATACACAAATGTTGTTGAAAACGAGATACAGTCAAACACAGGGTTCAATATGACGATTTTAATAATTAAAATGCCTAGGTTCGGAGAAGGAAAAAAGACTGGTAGACTCACCGCTATAAAATTAGACACTTTAAAAGTGGCACATATATTGATTGAAATGTAATGAAATTTGCTCATAGTTAAGAAAATTAACATTTTTGAAAATAATTGGAATAAAATGACATTTATTTTTATTTAATTAATCATTTTTAGCATATGTCATCCCATTAAATATTAAATACATTTTTGCACCTATCTCAAAATATAATTTTTTATTTTTTGTTAATGATATTTCTTAATTAATGATAAAACAAAAGAAATTGAATTTATTATTAAATCATAATAATAAAGACATTTATTGTTAAAATCCAATAAGAGAAAGTAATGGTTATTGATAAAAATAAATATATACTCAATATCAGATATAGTTTTCTTTGAACTCTAACGAAAATCAACATAGACATTCCATTAAAACAGATAGCGTGCAGTGCATAATAACATGAATGAGAATTAATCATGATAAAGTTGTAATTATCGCTATTTATCATCATTCATTATACTATCATAATCATAATTATCACTATTGTCATCATCGTTGTTGTTATAGTTATAAATGAAATCTTAATGACCGTTCAAGTAGATAGATATTGTAAACTTAGGAAATAATAATATATGCGTTTAATCTCAAGTTAATTAGTTAGTGAATTGCGTGAAATTATAACTATGATTGTTTATTACCAATGAAAACTAAAGATGGTTATGATGAGTAGGTTTACGGTACGTGAACCGAGAAAAATCAAAAGCCACAAAATTCGTTCATATTACATCTTAGAATATTAATTCAGTAAAAAGCGTTTAATTAATAAGTTTTAGTTTTATAAAGTACAATTATTAAACTGCCTGTGCACAAACGGATTCAATCGTTAATTTGTTTTATTATAAAACTTCTGTTATTATAAGATTATTATATAAAACGTAATCCTAAATAGCGTTTTAAATTATGTTTTTTAGAGAATAAGAAAAATAATAATTTATATCACGTACTGTTATAACCTATCGTCCCTCTAACTATCAGAAAGTAAAAAATTATTATTAAGCCATTGCAGTTCAATAATAATATATACTGAATCTAAGTTTATAACTAATCAAAGTAATAATTGATATCTGTATTGATGTAATATAAATAGGTCACATCCCAAGCAAAATATTACAAAGCTTAGCAAATTTTCCCTGATAAAATATCCAGATCTTCTCAGTGCAGGAACTCAGAGCTTTATGTGTATTTCACTTAAAATGACCAGAAAACAAAGGTGAAACAAAAAATCGCCTTAAATAGATTTCAAATCTTTAAACATGAAACATGAAAATGATTCTTAAGTTTTCCTATTTGTAATTATGCAGAAGTATTGCATAAATGACTTGTTGTATAAGTGTATTGACAATTAAGTTAGCATAAAACTACTAGTCTTTCTAACTCTTAATATAATTTGTATATAAATATA